TCAAATATGATAGTTAGTATAATAAAAATACAACATATGTTTAGTTGGACCAACATATTTCTCTAAGAGTTATGAAAATCATTATCATTGTGACACGTAGCTACAAAAAAAATGTTGTAATGTTCCATGATTAATATATAGGACATTTATTAATAAAAAATATTATATGTGAAATATTTAAATGTTTTATTAATTTATAATCATTTTTTAAAATTCAAAATATAACATATATAAAAAAAATCTAATATTTTTTGTTATATAGTTAATGTTATTTTTTAATTTATTTTCATAATATAAATTTAACAAAAACAGTAGAGCCTATAAATTTTTTTATCAAATCTTTATATTCGAATCATTAATTGTCATATATATCTTATAACCATATTAGGTAATTCCGTAAATTTTATTTAAGGAAATAATGAAATGCAATAATAATAGTTTATGTTTAGTTTAATAAAAAGTATATTATATGTTTATATGGACCAACATTTTTCTCTAGTAAATTTGAGAAGCATTCTCATGATGACACGTGGCTACCAAAACATGTTGTAATGCTTCTCAAATAATATATAAGGGATAAGGTATGACTTTTTAATAGTAATGACACAGTCTCATCTCATGCCCCTCTTTCATCATGATTGATGTTCAGAGCAAAGGTGGTTCTAGTCTGTAAATATTCAAAAACATGTGAACTGTTATTTGTCTCATCTGCAAAAGCCTTTTATTCCACTTTGATTTAATCAGTAAGTAGCAAGGGGAGAGGTTTAGACAGATGGCTTTACGTGGAATCAGTGAGAATATCTGTTTTCAGAAAAACAAACAAAAAATAAAAAAATAGTGTTGACAGTGGGATTTGAACCCACGCCCTTTCGGACCAGAACCTTAATCTGGCGCCTTAGACCAACTCGGCCATATCAACTTTGATGTTCATTAGGAGTCAACAGCATACTAAAAACCAACAGTGAATCTTTACAATACATAACATTACCATTTGCTTGTATTCAACGTAAGTGTTTGAATATTAGATGGCAAACACATTCAGTAAACACCACTTATCTTTTTATAATCTTAATGCATTTTTATAGTAATATTAATATATCACAGATTCACAATATTGAAAAGTTACCAATCTCTAAATAAAACCAACAACTGCATCAGAAGAAAAGAAGGAAAGCTAACTATATATTTGAAATTTACCAAAACATAGTTAGACAATTGTAAGATAACAGTAAACCGCACATAAACGCTGCTGCTTTCGCAGGAATGTATGTGAAAAAGGTGTCACTTCCATTTTTCATTTCTGTCTTCATTATAAATAACTGAAACACATCTCCTCATCATCTCTGACATCTCTTTTATAAGATACCTTCAAGCTTTAACGCAGCAGTTGAAGTAGCTGAAGATTCTTCTCCTCGTCTGTTTCAAAGCCATATTTACACGTAAGATTAAAAATGTCTTATCCCCAAAAAGGAAATGTTATCTATGTCAGCTCACATGGTAGGTACAAGAAATAGAAGCCACACCTTTTTTCTCATAAAGGGTTATGCTTTACTTTGATTAAAAGAAACCATTACAACAACTATATTAAAACATAACTCTTCACTTTTATTCCTTTGATGTGATTGTCTAACAATATAAACTCATTCATACCCAATACAACTCCAAATCTAATATATACTCAATCTTTTTTTTTCTACAACATATAAACTCAATCTAAGTTATGAAGTTTTGTGGTATAAATATATTGTGTAATAAATAGCATCAAGCAACTGACTACACCAAACATTGAAGGACCACAGTTACCCAATTGCTAGAACTAGCCATTTCATAACCTAACCAACCAAAGAAGGCAAGGCCCACATAAAATGAATACACACAGCTATAATCCACAAACACAATCATCCATTTCATAGTCACAAACTCAACCTAACAAAAAAATGTGCAAGTTTTATAGGAAAAAGTAAACCAGAACAAAAAATGTGTGACTCAAATCTAACTATATAAATCTACAAAGTTAGATTTCACAACCTAACCAAATTAAAACACCCTACCTACCGTTTTCAGGACAATCAATCATCCAGATCATATACACCCACATCAAGAAAAATGAATGTGAAGATGGGAAATTCAAGTGTGAGAACATGATCAAACTAACAAGAACAAACAAAGTGTAACCAAAATATAGTGCTGCAAAGATAGATTCCATAACATAACAATGGGACAAAGCTACACAATCAAATCATTCAACTCAAGATAGCAACAAAACTGAAAAGAAGCAAGTGATCTTACAGATGGAGGATGTCGCTGGTGGTGAGAGAAGTCGTTGTCGGTTATGTTGTTGTCACTGTGGACGGTCGTGAGCTTAGCCTTAGTTTTATGATCAACCGAAGTAGGTTGATTATGAAAAGGGTTAATGAAGTCTTGTTCATTGCCAAGACTGGCTCGAGAAGGATCTCTCTTGTGCTGTTTCCTCATCTCTCTGATCTTTGAGAAATCCATTGAGTAATCAGGAACGGTTCCTCCCTTTTGATCCCAGTCTCCAAACTGTGGTACTGATAGCCACGGCGAGTTCTTGTTCTACAAAAAAAAAAAAAAAAAACTCCCCCTAATCAATAACTTTGATTTTGAGGTAAACAAAAGAAAACCTCCTAAAATCAATTAATTGAAATTATGATACTTAAACACGAAAACATGGTTTAACTCAACACAGATTCATGATTTATTTTGATCTATCAGAGACTGGTTCAAAAAACATAAGGGTTTTAATTTATACAAGAAAAGAGAAGATGGTTTAACCTCTTTTGGATCATCCATATGATCAAAGCTGTAGAGAGAAGAGAGTCTTTCTTTTGTTTTTTAAAGAAGATGATCTTTGGAGCAAGAAAGATGGAAATTGAGAGAAATATATAAAGCTGGTAAGGAAGGTTGTTCAAAACTTTAATACAGCTACAATGTTACACCTACATATCAAATATTTTCTTTCTGTATTTTCTTATAGGAAAAGGTAAGCGTAAATTACCATAAGGGTATTCAGTGGGAAGGCTGGCAAATAATTTTTCAAATCTAATCTGATATGCAGATATATATTAAGCAAATTAGTATCAAAACTCGATTTACCTTGATTTTTTTCATATAATTTTTTCTTCCTTAATTAAGAACTAGTGAGTTACACATACTCCACTACTGGAAAAAGGAAAGAAATCTCATCACCTATTGATACATGTGTTTTGTTAAATAAATTTCTGATCTATTTACCGCTATAGAATCTGTCTCCACTCAATATAACTACAGAAGTCTACAATTAGTTTTGATAAAATATTAAAGTATGACTTAGTTTGGTTAGATTATAATCATGGAGGCGATTAACATTGGTGGCGTATTAACCTCCACAGAGCAGCTTGCTTGGCTGGTTTTGTAGTTGGGACAAGTGGCAGAGGTGTGTAATGTTCAAAGGAGTGATATGAACCACAAAGAGGTAACTTTGCCGGATTACGCAGTGTTATCTTCAACACTTCTTCCACAACCACAAAACATTTATTTATTTATTTGTTGTTGTTGTTGTGACTTTTGTCCTTATTTCATATTTGATTATTGACTTATAAAAGAACACTAAATTATATATAGCAGAAATTCAAAAACTATTTTTTTTTTTAAAACGAACTAACTCGAAAAGCTAATAGAAAAAAAAATTTCTTAGCTAATGTTCAAATTTAAAAAATCCAACAAGCTAATATAAATGATACTAGATCTCAACCCGCGCAACCGCGCGGATATTTGTTTTTATTTATTTTTATATAAACATTTTTACTTCTAAATTGGTATATATTATATAAGGTATGTATATCGAAAATGATGATTAATTATTATATAGTATAGATTAATTATTGTTAGAAAATGATGATTTTTTTATTTTTAAAAATAAACTATATAATTTTTAAAGTTAACATCAAAAATATATAAATAATTAACTTATACTATTACAATATTAAATTATATAAGTTTAATTTAAACATGTATTTTATTATAATATCTATAAATCCAATGGATCATTTAATTTTTATTAGCCTAATTAAAATTTCTAGTAAGTCCAATAAATGTTATTAGTGAATCTAATGAATGTTATTAATGATTAAATAATGTAATGTCATAAATGCTATTAGATGGTTCATTTTAAAATATCACACATGAAGTGAAGTCATGACTTCTCTTTTAATATGTAAGATATTCTAAATCATTTACAACTTTTCTTACTTAAAACTTACTAATTTGCTTGCGATGTAAATTAAAAATAATCTTTCTCAGAAATGCTACTGCTAGGTAGCTAAAAACACAATTGAATTCATATATATGATAATGATATGTATATATTTGGAGTATATTGGGAGAAAAAACAAAACAAAACAAAAGAAAATACGCAAACTACAAAAACCACACAAAATAAATCTATTTTTATGTCAAATAAATAAAATAAAATAAAATTAATAAAATAAATATCTCTTGGCTCACACTTCACCATTTAGATAGAGAAGAAACTCTCTTACCAAACCACACACTCTCTCTCGCCAGAGAGTTTCTTCCCCTCTGATTCTCCCCGGAGACACTCGAAAAATCCAAACTTTCAATCATGGGTCTCTCCACAAACCTCCACACCATCAACCCCCGCTCCACTTTCCTCACCGGCGGCCTCCTCCGCCCCTCTCCAATCACATCCACTTTCATCAAAATCTCTTCCCTTTCAATCCCTAAACACCAAACCACCACAACAATCAGATCCCAAATCTCCACAATCACCCCCGTCAAAGACGACATCGAATCCCTCTTCTCATCCCCAACAACCCAACAACAACAATCCTCCGACCGTCGAAAAAACTCTTCCTCCTCCGGCGTCTCCTCCGGCGTGAAGCTCGAGAACATAACTAAAACCTACAAAGGCGTCACCGTCCTCAAAGACGTCTCCTGGGAGGTGAAAAGAGGGGAGAAAGTAGGCCTGGTCGGAGTAAACGGCGCCGGCAAAACGACGCAGCTTCGAATCATAACGGGCCAAGAGGAGCCCGACTCGGGAAACGTAATCAAGGCCCGGCCCAATATGAAAGTGGCCTTTTTAAGCCAAGAGTTCGAGGTTTCCATGAGCAAGACCGTTAAAGAAGAGTTCATGAGCGCTTTTGAGGAGGAGATGGAGATTACGGAGAGGCTTGAGAGAGTTCAGAAGGCGATTGAAGGATCTGTTGATGATTTGGAGCTGATGGGGAGGTTACTTGATGAATTTGATTTGTTGCAGAGACGAGCTCAGGCGGTGAGTTTGGATAGTGTTGATGCGAAGATTAGTAAGTTGATGCCGGAGTTGGGGTTTGTGGCTGAGGATGCTGATAGGCTTGTGGCTTCCTTTAGTGGTGGGTGGCAGATGAGGATGTCTCTTGGGAAGATTCTGCTTCAGGTATATATATGATGATAATGGCCTGAGCATTTTGGGTATTGGTTTGGTTTATTTTCGGTTTTTGTTTGTTCGGTCTAGATCCATTTGGATATTTATGAAATTTGGTTGGTTTCGGTTCGGTTATTTTGTTTTTTAGTTCGGTTTTTTAGGTTTTTGTTTTTTGTTTTGGTTCTAGAGATATAGGATTCATTCGGGTATTTAGGAAATTTGGTTGGTTTCGGTTCTGTTATTTTGTTTTTTGGTTCGGTTTATTTTGTTTTTTTTTTTCGGTTGTAGAGATATATGATATGTTCGGATATTTAGAAAATTTGGTTGGTTTTAGTTCGGTTATTTTGGTTAAAGCATATGTAGATTGTGTAGGCCTGAGCATATGTTCGGTTTATTTTGGTTTTTTTTTGTTTTTTTTTCGGTTGTAGAAATATAGTATCCGTTAGGAAATTCGGTTTGGTTTCAGTTTGTTCGGTTTGTGTTTTTGCTTTGGTTTGGGTAACAAGTTGGGAACATGCTAATATCTGAAATTCAGTTTAGGTTAGGTTTGGTTCCGGTTTTTAGGTTAATTCAGATATTTAGGAAATTCGGTTTGGTTTCATGTTGGTTATTCCGGTTCAGTTTAGGTAACTAAGTTGGGGGAACAAGCTAATATTCTTGTTTCAGTTCGGTTATTTCAGATTAAAAAAACAAAAATTCGGATATTTAGGAAATTCGGTATGGTTTCAGTTCAGTTATTTTGGTTTTTGGTTTGGTCTGGATAACAAAGTTGGAAACCGGTCCAACCGGCTAATATCCTAAATTCGGTTTCGGTAAATTCTGCTTATAAATTCTAGAAAATTCTGAGTAAATATCAGATTTTTTTTGGATTTTCAATAAAAAATCCGATTAAATATTCAGGTATAAAATGAAATGATTGAATTCAAACTCCAAGTAGAAACTTAATGTTTATTGTGTGTGTTTCTATGAGTAGGATCCAGATTTACTGCTACTTGATGAACCTACAAACCATTTAGATCTTGACACCATTGAGTGGCTTGAAGGCTATTTGCAAAAGCAAGAAGTTCCCATGGTCATAATCTCACACGACAGAGCCTTCCTTGACCAGCTCTGTACCAAAATCGTCGAAACCGAGATGGGTGTTTCAAGAACATTCGAAGGTAACTACTCTCAGTACGTGATCTCAAAGGCAGAGTGGATTGAAACTCAGAACGCAGCTTGGGAGAAGCAGCAGAAAGAGATTGAATCAACTAAAGACTTAATCGCTAGGCTTGGTGCTGGTGCTAACTCTGGCCGTGCTTCCACTGCAGAAAAGGTAACCAATAGCCATTACATAAGGGTTATGATGTCACTATTCTTAACTGTTCTTTTGTGTAATAGAAACTAGAGAAGCTGCAAGAACAGGAGCTTATAGAGAAGCCGTTTCAGAGGAAGCAGATGAAGATTAGGTTTCCAGAGCGTGGAACTAGTGGAAGATCTGTAGTCACGGTTAAGAACGTTGATTTTGGTTTTGAGGATAAGATGCTGTTTAAGAAGGCTAATCTAACAATAGAGAGAGGAGAGAAGATTGCTATTATTGGCCCTAATGGTTGCGGGAAAAGCACGTTACTGAAGCTTATAATGGGTTTAGAGAAGCCAATGAAAGGTGAAGTTATTCTCGGAGAGCACAATGTATTACCAAACTACTTTGAACAGAACCAGGTGAAGTTATTCTCGGAGAGCACAATGTTTTAAAACAAATAAAGATAAGTTTGTTAGTTTCTTGACATGTTTTTTTGTTTTTTTGACGTTAGGCTGAGGTTCTTGATTTGGATAAAACGGTTCTTGAAACGGTTTGTGAAGCTGCAGAAGACTGGAGAAGTGATGATGTAAAAGGTCTTTTAGGACGTTGCAACTTCAAAGCAGACATGCTTGATAGGAAGGTCTCTCTATTGAGCGGTGGTGAGAAAGCAAGACTTGCTTTCTGTAAATTCATGGTGACGCCTTCGAATGTACTTGTTTTGGATGAACCAACCAATCACTTAGACATTCCTTCTAAAGAGATGCTTGAGGAAGCGATAAACGAGTACCAAGGTACAGTGATTGCAGTCTCACACGACCGTTACTTCATCAAACAGATTGTTAACAGAGTGATAGAAGTTGAAGATGGTTGTTTGGAAGATTACGCAGGAGACTACAATGTAAGAACCTGAAAGCTATATCTCTTCTCTGTCTTAGCTTGTCATGTGTTGAATGTGTGGATTTTCTCTTGTAGTATTACTTGGAGAAGAATTTGGAAGCTAGGGCAAAGGCGGTAGAGAGAGAAGCAGAGCTAGAAGAGAAAGCACCAAAAGTGAAGGCGAAGTCAAAGATGTCAAAAGCAGAGAAAGAAGCAAGGAAGAAGCAGAAGATGCAGGCGTTTCAACAGGCTAAACAGAAGTCAAAGGCCAGCAAGAACTCCAAGAGATGGAACTGAAAAGGAGTCTGAGAGATATTTTTATAAAAGTCTTCTTACAGTTGCAGCAACATCTTTATTGTGGATTCTCAGTTTGTATAGAATATACTTTTTCAGTTAAGAAAAGATTAAGAAACTTAACTGTCTCAGAAATTGGATTAGAGGTTGATCACTTGTAGTCAGATTCAATACTAGTAGTTAGCCCTGGTGTATCATCTGAAACCCTTGAAGTCAAACCAAATTTTATAAATATCTGAATAGGTTTTTGCTGAAAACTCAAACATCAAAGAGCGTACACTCTATCTATTATGTTGCTTGATGCCTACATGTGAAGCCAACAATGTTGGTGCACACAATCTTTCATGGTCATCTTCTTATAGTTGTTACAAAACTTCTTACAAATGTTACTCTCTTGGTTCCTTTCCTATGTAACATTGCTTTTTTATAGTCTTGGTAAGAAGAGAAAGTTTGTTACCTTGGGTTTGTTGTTATCAGTAAAGGATCTGGCTCCCGTTTGTTGAATCATTAGACGTTTGAATAGAAGGAGATTTAAAGCAATTAATCTACAGTTTTTTACTTTAAAAAAAAGAAGACAAACAAGAAATATTGACCCACACCTTAATGCATTCCAAGAACAGACCCCAGAGAAAATAACCCAAAGATTAATAATACCATGTTCCCAACTTAAGCAAAGACCACCTAAATGCATAAAATGTAGACCCTTTGCTTTGCCACACAAACCAAATACCACCTAAATGCATAAAATGGCTTAGTGAGAGATATTTGATATTAACATGACAATCCGGTAAATCGCCGGTTTAAAGAGCCTTTTATATAACATTTATCGGAAAACTATTTTTTCTTTTAGAGGTTATCCCACATATTTCAAGATAAATTAGAAAATATCATATTTTTGTTTTAATAAATTGCTGCATCATTCACTGACATTGTATGGAGAATAAAGAAGGTTGAAACCTTAGGTGTTCCCGTTTCTCCAGAAAATAGAGGTTTTATAGGGGTTAATCCACTTCTTATGTTGTATATGAAGTTTAAATAAACAACTCATTGAAAAATTATAAATGATGCCATGTACAATGAAAATAAGTTTACATAAATATAAATATATATATATATATATATATATATATATATATATATATATATATATATAAATTTAAAGTGTGGTTAGGTATTTTTAAACAACACTAAATTGGTTAAATATATAGTATAGATAGTATTTATCAAAAATTTCAGTCTTTTCGTAGATGTTAACCCTCATATTTCAGGATAAATTAGAAAATATGAAATTTTTATTTAATGCGTAGATGCATCATTCAGTGGCATAGTATGAAGATTAAATTATGTTTGAGACCTTAGGTGTTCTCATTTCTATAGAAAATAAAGATTTTATAGGGGCTAATACACTAATTAGATCATATTGGAAGTTTAAAAATATTATTCATTGAAAAATTAGAAATGATGTCCCTATACCATGAATATATGTTTATCATACATTAATAGGCATTAAAGTATGGTTAGTTATTTAGAAAAAAAATAGAAATGAGGCTCAACTTTAGTATATACAACATTTACTAGATAAAAACTAAATATTTTTGTAAGATAAATTAGAAAATATGGTATTTTGTTTGAGTGCATAATTTCATCATGCAGTGACATTTGATGAGACTTAAAGAGTTCTGAGACTTTATTTGTCCATGTTTCTATAAAAAAATACATTTGTTATAGGGGTTAGTCAACATAATTAGGTGGAATATGAAGTTTTATTAAATTACTCATTAAAATGTTAGAATTGATACCCATGTACCATTAAAATAAGTTTAACATACACTAATAAAAATGTACAATGTGATTATATATTTTTAATCAACATGAAATTGGTTAAACTTCTGTAAATATCATTTATCGCAAAACTCGATCTTTTTGTAGGGGTTAACCCACAGATTTCAAAATAAATTATAAAATTTGGTATTTTAATTTTAATGCATAGTTGTATCTAGAATAGATAAAGAATGAAGATTAAGGATGTCTGACACCTTTGTTGTCATAATTTCTCAAGAATATAGAGATTTCATAGGGTATAGTTCTTTGATTTACGTGGTATATGAAGTTTAATTAAATTACTTGTTTGAAAATTATAGCTGATGCCCATATACCATGAAAACTAATTTAGGATACATTAGTATAAATTTTTAATGTGGTTAGATATTTTAAACTGCACTAAAGAGGCTAAACTTAAGTACGAATACCATTTATCGAAAAACTTCGATCTTTTCATAGAGGTTAACCCACATATTTCAAAATAAATTTGAAAATAAGGATTTTTGTATTTATGCATAGCTACATTCAATACTGATATAGGATGCCTATTAAAGAGTTTTGATACTTTAGTTGTCCAAATTTCTGTAGAAAATATAGATTTTATAGGGTTTGGTTCATTAATTTTGGTTGTATATGGAGTTTTATTAAATTCCTCGGTTGAAATTTAAGGCTGATTCCCATGTACCATGAACATAAGTTTATTACATTAATATAAATTTTGAATGTGCTTAGGTATTTTTAAATAAAACTAAAGAGCCTTTTATATAAACGATGCTCTTGTACCATGAAAATAAATTTAAAATACATTAATTTAAATTTATAACCAGATTTGGTATTTTTCAATCAACAACGAAGAGCCTAAAAATGATATTTTTATTATAATATATAGAAGCATCATGCACTGAAATAGTATAAAGATTAAAGATGTTTGAGACCTTACGTGTTCCCGTTTCTCCAAAAAAATAATTTTTTATTGGGGTTAGTTCACTTATTAAGTTGTATATGAAGTTAAAATTAATTACTCGTTAAAAAGTTTGAAAAGATGCTCTTGTACCATGAAAAGAAATTTAAAATACATTAATTCAAATTTATAACCTGATTTGGTATTTTTTAATCAACAACAAAGAGCCTAAACTTTAATTTTTAGCCTTTATCGAAAAACTCGATCTTTTCGTAGGGGTGCCCATATATTTTAAGATAAATTAGAAAACTGATATTTTTGTTTTACTGCATAGAATCATCATGCACTGAAATAGTATGAAGATTAAAGATGTTTGAGACCTTAGTTGTTCTCGTTTCTCCAAAAATAAATTTTTTATTGGGGTTAGTCCACTTATTAAGTTGTATATGAAGTTAAAATAAATTACTCGTTAAAAAGTTTGAAACGATGCTCTTGTACCATGAAAATAAATTTAAAATACAAAATTTAAATTTATAACCTGATTTGGTATTTTTTAATCAACAACAAAGAGCCTACACTTTAATTTTTAGCCTTTATCAAAAAACTCGATCTTTTCGTAGGGAATATTTCAAGATAAATTATAAAAAATGATATTTTCGTTTTACTGCATAGAATCAATATGCACTGACATATTATGAAGATTAAAGAGGTTTTAGATCTTAAGTGTTCCTGTTTCTCCAAAAAATAATTTTTTTTATTGGGGTTAGTCCACTTATTAAGTTGTATATGAAGTTAAAATTAATTACTCGTTCAAAAGTTTGAAATGATGCTCTTGTACCATGTAAATAAATACAAATACATTAATTTAAGTTTATAACCTGATTTGGTATTTTTTAATCAACGACAAAGAGCCTACACTTTAATTTTTAGCCTTTATAAAAAAACTGGATCTTTTCGTAGGGGTTAACCCACATATTTCAAGATAAATTAGAAAATGATACTTTTGTTTTACTGCATAGAAGAATCATGCACTGATATAGTATGAAGATTCAATAGGTTTGAGACCTTAGGTGTTCCCGTTTCTCCTAAAAACCTTTTTTTTATCGGGGTTAGTCCACCTATTAAGTGGTATTTGAAATTAAAATTAATTACTCATTCAAAAGTTTGAAACAATGCTCTTGTACCACGAAAATAAATTTAAAATACATTAATTTAAATTTATAACCTGATTTAGTATTTTTAATCAACAACAAAAAGCCTAAACTTTAATTTTTAGCCTTTATCAAAAATAGATCTTTTCGTAGGGGTTACCCCACATATTTCAGGATAAATTAGAAAAAATGATATTTTTGTTTTACTGCATAGAAGCATCATGCACGGACATAGTATGAAGATTAAATATGTTTGAGACCTTAGTTGTTTCCGTTTCTCCAAAAAAATAAATTTTTTATTGGAGTTAGTCCACTTATTAAGTTGTATATGAAGTTAAACTTAATTACTCGTTCAAAAGTTTGAAATGATGCTCTTTTACCATGTAAATAAATTCAAATACATTAATTTAAATTTATAACCTGATTTGGTATTTTTTAATCAACAACAAAGAGCCTACACTTTAATTTTTAGCCTTTATCAAAAAACTTGATCTTTTCGTAAGGGTTAGCCCACATATTTCAAGATAAATTTAAAAATGATATTTTTTTTACTGCATAAAAGCATCATGCACTGAAATAGTATGAAGATTAAAGAGGTTTGAGACCTTAGGTGTTCCCGTTTCACCAATTAAGTGGTATATGAAGTTAAAATTAATTACTCGTTTTAAAGTTTGAAACGATGCTCTTGTACCATGAAAACAAATTTATAACACATTAATTTAAATTTGTAACCTGATTTGGTATCTTTTAATCAACAACAAAGAGCCTAAACTTTAATTTTTAGCCTTTATCGAAAAACTCGATCTTTTCGTAGGGGTTAGCCCACATATTTCAAGATAAATTAGAAAAAAAGATATTTTTGTTTTACTGCATAGAAGCATCATTCACTGACTTAGTATGAAGATTAAAGATGTTTGAGACCTTAGTTGTTCCCGTTTCTCCAAAAAACCTTTTTTATTGGGGTTAGTCCACCTATTAAGTGGTATATGAAATTAAAATTAATTACTCGTTCAAAAGTTTGAAACGATGCTCTTGTACCATTAAAATAAAATTTAAATACATTAATTTAAATTTATAACCTGATTTAGTATTTTTTAATCAACAACAAAGAGCCTAAACTTTTATTTTTAGCCTTTATCGAAAAACTCGATATTTTCGTAGGGGTTAGCACACATATTTCAACATAAATTGGAAAAAATGATATTTTTGTTTTACTGCATAGACGCATCATGCACTGACATAGTATGAATATTAAATAGGTTTGAGACCTTAGGTTTTCCCGTTTCTCCAAAAAATAAATTTATCGGGGGTAGTCCACCTATTAAGTGGTATATGAAGTTAAAATTAATTACTCGTTCAAAATTTTGAAA